ATATAATATAATATAATGGGCCCCAAAGCCTTCTTTTAATTATGAAGGCGCTAACGAGCGAAAGCTTGGCCCCCATAGGCACTTGGAGATGCTGCTGCGACGGAGTTCAGAGGTTTAAGGGCATGTAGTCACCTGATGCTCAGCACCTGTCAGACCAAGCTTTCGGGCTTCGGTGCTGTTGCTTTCGATGCAGGAGATCATCCGACAGCAGAGCCTTGGAAAGCCAGATGCGTGTATGGGGAGTCTCACCCTTTGAGGTTGCACAGGGATGTTTGAGTGTAGTGGCAGCTTGGTCCTGAAAAAGCTGAAGGAAGATCGAACATTATATCTTGCAATCATCTCTTGCAGATTCCCTGCAATCCGCTTTCTGCTCTGTTTGGGTACTTAGCTTGCTACACGTGCCTTTTTCTGCCGGAGCTTGTTGCTTGTCAGCATGTTGACGATGTCTTCCTGCTTTCCAAGCTTCTTGTCGTCGTCACAGTAGACAACACCAACCCCAGTGAGGACACTGCAGCTTCAGCAATAATCACAAGAGTGGTTTGTAAACGCTTTTGCGATCAGAATTTCTGCTGAAATTCCCTATCTCAAGTCCCAACAACGGCCCAACCGCTGAAACCCCGACTGCTTGCACTTAAGGAAGACAGCCCGCAACATTGGCCACTCGCCACCAGTTGGGGATGAGGGTTGTTCAGAGAAAGGTTGCCTAGGCTTTTCCGACAATGGGGTCATGCTTGCAGGCAACGATTGCTGCCATGTGCATGATGACTCTTACTTTTGCGCTGATTGTCTGATCCCGTTTTGTCTAATCTCGTACGTCATGCCAGGAGAAGACCTCTTGGAGGACATGCTGAAGCTCGACTCCCTTGCAGGCTCGTGCTGATCATTCCCGCTGCCCCGATACCACATACGAGACGCCGTTACAGTGCTCGCAAGACAGAACCTGATGCTTCTTGCATTTACAGATGTTGTTGCAGCCATGCCAATTAAGATTTCTAAGATCGCAAACAGGAGGTTTTCAGAGGACTGCAGAGGCCTGGCTCCCCAAGCCAAACCGGAAACGCAGCATCAAATCAGTCAGCCTCAGGCAGTAGGGGTTCATCGTCGTTATTGACAAAATGTCCTTTCATACACGCAACAGCGCAACCCGTGCGGTTGAAAGATTGGCAGTACGACTGGGGCACTGCAGCTTAACAGTGCTATCAGAACCAACAGATCCAGACACGGACATGTGAACCACGAACATGTGAAGCCCTGCGACCTACGGCGAAGGCCTCTACCAGGCAGACAGAGAGGCGGCTGCGATGATGGGCTTGCACTTCAGGAATTACCAGCTGCGAGACGAGCCGAGGGTTAAACAATCTGAACCAAAATCTGAGCCCCGTTTGTGTTCAGAAGGATGATCCGCCACCGGTGGGGGATCGCGGTTTTGTCAGCAACGCTGTGATTGCTGCTGCAAGCCAGCAGGTGCGAAAGCTCGCGCTGTCGCAGCTCGATGACTTGGTCGACCAGGCTGGTGCGTTTCGGATTCAGGGATTTAGAGTGCGAGGCTTTGTTCTGGAGCTTTGGTGAACTGGGACTCCAGATTGCAAGGCCAAGCCTCGCAACGGAGCCCCTAGCCCCTCTTTGTAGATGAAAATCGTGAAGCCACAAGGCAAATGAAGCAACCGGAGCGCTCGTGGAGTCCGAGCCCTGCAGAACTCCAACCACAAGCATTGCTTCTTTGTTTCAGGATGCTCCCAGTGCTCCCACCAGGACTGAGTCCTCAGAAAGGGCCACGCGTCATTTGGGACTCCTGACTAAGTCTACTGTGATAGAGTCTAAGTCTAAGGCCAGTGAAGATGTCAGCTCCTTTCGAGGTGGACACTGCCAAGGCGCAGCTGCTGAAGAGGCGGAAGGAGCTGGAGGCCATGGTCGAGGCAGGGCCCGGCACTTGTCACCATGATCATCGGACCATCCACGTCATCACGGTTTGGGCAGAGAAGAAAGATCGACAATGGTCACCATCATCTCGCAGATAGCAGTCGCCATGCTCAGCCGTCGTGACAACAGCAGCAGCAGCGGCGGCAGCGGTGTCGTCTTCGTCTTCATCGCAGCAGCGTAGCGACAGTCGAACTCAGTAGAATAGACATCGAACTCCTCACGGCTGCGCAGGGCTTGGAGCCTTCCATGCGCCGCGAGTCAAAACAAAACGCCCCCACAAGCCTAGAGCAAGACAACCTGAATCAAATCGATCCGCAGGCAGTGCCGCAGAGATCGAAGCCCACGGGCCGCCAAACAAACCTCCCTCCGATGCGGAGGTTGCAGCCGATGCAAATCCCGTGCAGCTCGAGAAGGAGGCCTTCATGTGGTGGTGCAGAGGCTTTTTTGAGGCTTTCGCAGGAGTTGGCAAGGTTATGTTACGTTTTTCCTTCTGGGAATCTGAGTTTACCAGGGGTTGGAAACGTTATGCTGAGTTCCTTTCGGGACTCTGTTAACATGACAGCGTCTCCATGGTGTACTGAATTGCACAATCCATGAGCCGGCTCTGGCTGGTGGCTTACGGGGAAGTTTGCTACATCTGTCGCGTTGTAGCCCAAGCTCCTGCACGCTTCGCGCCAAGGTTACCCCGCCGGAGTCGCCGGCCGCTGAAAGCAGGGAACCGGAAGCAAGCAGGCCTTGATCCAGTCTTCCAATCTCCGGACAGTGCTTCAGAAGGTTGGCACGTAGCCACACACACACTCTCTCTCTCTCTCTCTCTGTTTTTCTTGTTGCTCAGAACGGCCACCAGCAATAGACAAGAGCAAAGCTTGGCCCGTATTTTGCGTATTCGCTGTCGTTCGGGAACCTCACGCGTTTGCCTCATGCCGCCTTTTGCGGAAGCGCAGGTCGTACACCGAATCCCCTCGACTGGAAGACGTCAGGCAAGGCCGTCAATGCGACCTCCGGATTGACAAGTTTGTTGTTCGACAAGACAAGACAAGACAAGACAAGAAAGAGTCAAAAAGGCAACCGTTTTTGCGACGAAGCCACCATGGCAGGTGCCGGCTTCGGCTGCAGTCCCAAGAGCGACCTCAGGGCTATGTGGCATCTGGGCAGGATTAGTTTCCGACCGAATCCACGTGTTTTGAGCATAAGCAGCTAGAGCAGCCGTGGGACCCAGCTTTGCCATGTTGACACCGGAGTAGAAAAGCTTCAAGCCCTGATTTGTCTTGCTCGTGAGTTGCATTTAGCCTGCTCGTGGCCCCTCGCGCCCGACTCGAAAGCGTCGCTTGTGCGGGAGTGACCTGAAAAAGTCTCCATTTCTTTCTTGCATGCCGCTATGTTGAGCAGCGAGGTCTCGGCAAATGCACGCGGAGTCAGCGCAGAGGCCCGAGGGTTCAAGCTGCTGGCGGTACTTGCTGAAGGTGGGAAGTAGACAGCCGAGTGCCCCCGCTGCAAAAGACGGAATGGTCTGCCATTCATGCGGCTCGAGAGCCAAAAGAGTGTTTGGCGCCTGCAGGACATAGATCTACAGCTCGACGGCGATTTGCTTCGCATCATGGGCTTTGCCCGGCCAACACTCCAGGTTGGCCCGGTTTCCAGCAGCTTTCCGTCCGATTGCAATACTGAAAACCCGCAGATGGGCGAAGACTAGTTGCTTTCGGAGAAGCTAGGACGGCACGAACGCTTGAAGAACAGCCCAGAGCCACAGATCCTTAAGAAGTCCTGGGGGCTGGCAGATACAACGGATTGACTCCTTGTCAGCGTTTCAACCCCTACCAGTGCCCAACTAAGCACTGCAAAAATACTTCGCAAGACTCTCACCAACCCAAAAAATGTGTGCAGGATGCCGCATTCCTCAGGAGCAGGCTGCGCCGGGAGCCCTGTGTCGAGGAGACCGGGGCGAATTGCACTCTGGCAAGATACGGGAGCCTCAAGATGAATTCGCAACTTTCTCGTTCCTGCAAAAACCCCTGCTTCCAACGAGCTAGAAGCCCGAAACATCCTCGCACCCAGCGCTGTATGGCGGAGGACTACGCCGCCTTCGGTTTCGGCGACCTGGCGTCGTTTTCTTGTGTGGCTTCATTCCGAACATTCCTCGAAACCTCGTTACCGAGGCCGATTCCAGGAAGCCATTCGAGTCCCGGCCGACGTCGACGTAAACAAGATCCAGGCATCCTCGCATTTTAGCACGTGAAGGCTTAGGGCATGGAGCAGGTTTCAGGACGGCATGCCTGTGCTGATAGGCCTCGTGCCACGATGGCCAGCTCCAGCTGATTTTGCCGCGCAGGCCACGCAAGTCCTTGAAAGGATGTACCACCAAACACTAACACAGCCCAAAGCTTCACATACAGGCCGCGGCAGTTCCCACAGAGCTACCACTCTTTGCGGTCGAGGCCCGAATTGCTCCTCCAATGCTTTGTCTGCCCCAGAAACCACCCGGCAGCCCTGTCGAGCCCTACCAGCCTTGCCAGCCTCAGCTTGAAGCCGGAGCCGAAGGAGCCGAAGGTGGTTTTTTCTGAGCTCTGCAGTCAAATCTGCTTTGAGGCCACCAATGTTCCCAGTTTGGTGAGCAAGACGGAGAGGTGTCAGTGAGCTGCTCAGCGGAGTGGCACCGAAGCAGCCGGGTCCCAGCGTTGTGTCTTTGCTCTCCCAGTGTCACTGAGGTCATGAAATCCAAAATTCGTTGTACAGAGCAGGCGCGAGTGAAAGCGCACCCGCAACCCATGCCAGAGCCGTCCGTCGATCGGTTTGCAGGTCAAAGCCTGTTTTGAGACTGCTCGAGCATGTGCATCCTAGCAGTCCACCCGCAACCCGAGACGAAGGATGAGCGGATCTGATTCTTGAACTTGGCCGCTCCGGACAATTGGGGCGCGCCGCACAGTGGTCGAGAGAGCAGATGGGAGGAGCTTACTTTTGGTCCCAAGCGCAAGGCGCGCGGTTCCCTCCATATGAAAATAGGATAGTGCAAGCGGAGCCTCCTTGTTCGATATGGGGCCGGAAGTAGAGGCTGTACAGACACCTCCGGAATGCTCCGTGCTAAACGGCGAGATGCGGCTCCGCAGGCCGAAGGCCTCGCAGGTTCCCAGCACGAAGTCTCACCGCAACATACCCAGGGTGCTTCCTGTACAGCAGACCCTGTTAAAATCCTTCTTGCGTGACTTGCAGCTGGAGGTCTGCCTGTGGTTCTGGGACCGTTCTGCATGTTGGAGCATCTCCCCAAACTGGCTCATCAGCTGCAGAGCACGCTTTGGCTTGAGCTCTGAGATGGGCGACTTTGTGCGTGACACCTCATCTCTCTGAATAGTGATTGGCTTGTCTTCGGGGGTCTGTTCACTCCACACAGGATCGGCCTTGCAGGTGTTTCGCCATCGCAGCCAACTTTGGCTGCAGGTCAGCCCAGGGTATCTGCACCACGACAAGCCGCAAGCATTCAAGCCAATGCACGTGCGTACGCGTGTAGGGCCAGAGTAGCGACTATATTGTGACTATAGCTCAACGCTCATCATGAAAGTAGTGGCCTGCTTGGGGTGGGTGTCTAGTGACATACGCAAGACGTCCCTGCAGAGTCGTTACGATGAAACAGTGGAGCGCCTGTGTGGCACCCGTGCAGCCTGTCACAGAAAGTATCAACACACCACATATCGCCACATACTGCAGAGCAGAACCTAGCTTCGTAACTACCTAGATTACATAGTACCACTGTGAATGTAAACATCTCCCAGCATGAAAGAAAGTTATCCCAGCATGTGAGAAACCCCAGCAAAGTACTCGTTCAAAGAGGAGCTGCCGAAACGTTCTAGCTAGTATGTGTACATAGGAGCGTACGAGCATGTAATGACTCTGCCGCAGCGCATGGCGGATGCCAGTCCAACCGATGGTCTACCGCACCTGGAGTGGCGAAGCTGGACAAGCCAACAAGACGAGCAACATAGTAAGATAACACAACATAGCAGTAGAAGAGAAAGACAATCACAGGCGGACAGAGCATAATCTGAGGTCGGAAGGTGTCATCTCCTGTGCGAGTGGTTCAAGCCTACATACAGCTTCTACTTAGATAATGGACGGACTGACGCAAGAGCTGCCGGATGTGATCACTTTGTACAGCGAGAGCCTTTGTACGGCCAGAGCGAGAAGACTGTAGCATACTGGAGCCGCAACTACAAACTGAGAGCACATCCCATGTTCAAGAAAGGAAGCAGCTTCTATCGAGTGCCTAATCGGATACTTAAAGGATGATGGGACTTGGTAAGTAGGGTTATAACTAAGGTAACTATACTTATAACCCCAATTAGGGGACTTATAACCTTACTTACTAAGTCCCATGATCCTTTAAGTACAAAGTCACAGCCTCGCACCAGCTCTTTTCCTGCCTGACTTTGGAGCCTGGCCTTGTGAAGGTCAAGCCTAGCTCCCCAGATTCTCACGAGAGGAGATCGGACAAATGGGAGTATCCGACAATAAGGGTACCTTATTTGGGGTCCTTATAGTAGGGATCCTATTATTTAGGGTACTATATTAGGGTCCCCTATTTTCGGAAACCGCCAAATGGGGATTGCTAGAGTGCAACCGTAGGGATCCAGCTTTCAATGACCGAGATTGGAAACAAGGCGCTTCTACACTGCCCGGTCGAGCCTCTCCTTGCTCTCTGACGAGGCCCGTGTCGGGCCGAATTCAGATACAAGGGGCAGATCCTTCTATTCAGAATCCTTCTATTTCGGCGTTATTCTGTCCCGTCTTTTTCTGAAACTCCCAAACCTATTCTTGCTACAATGACTGCCCCTTTTGTTTTTTGTTTTTTTTACCACGGTTCCTATTCTTGCTGCCGCAATTCGTAGGAAGACATCACTGCTCTAGTCAGCGTGTCCGTGCGACATCTGCACACTGGTGTTTTGACTCCTAGGCTTACTCTTGGCATCCATTGCCAAAAGCAGGAGCAGCAGTCGTCGTCGTAGCATTAGCAACAGCAGTGAGATCTATTCGCTCATGTAGCTCTGCGGACATTTTGTGCATCATGGACAGTGTGATCATGAATGCCGTCCTCTATGTCTACAAAAATCGCAGTTGCTACCATCGCTGCTATGCCGGATACCTGAGCATACCGGAGTGATGAATTCCGATATCCGGTTTTGTGTACGACCAGGCATTGCGAAAGCTCCAACGGGGCTCCTTACAGATTGGGCTGGATTTAGGCTTTGAATAAACACTCGGCACGGGTCGCAACAGAGAACACGGGAAGAAAGCATGTCGAGGAAACTTCGGAGACAAAGCCTCCATCCCCCGAGGCGAAGGGAGCCGCAGCGGAAAAGCGCAAGAGGTCGGGCGCTGTTATTTGTAGCTTCCAGGACATGGAAGTGGATTTATGCTTCGGGTTCTAGGTGTGAAGCTGCTGCTGCACACAGTGTTGGACAGATTTCGTCAGCTTTTTCTATTGATGAATCAGCCATGTTCTTCACTCTACGGATTACAAGTCTTAAGACGGTTTCTTATCCGCCAGCACCTCCTCGAGCAGCGTAACTGTGCGCCTCCTTGTTCAGACTCATTGCAGTGCAGCCCCACGCCCACGTTCTTGACGTCCTGACACCCAGGAGAAGCAAGAGAAACCGAACAACCGAGCACGCTAACATCAAGTCATTTTCAGTAGCCACTTAGCAGCTTTCTCGCTACTCCATGTACTTGAGGATGACTTTGTGACTTTGCTTTGCCCGTGCCTGGTTGAAGTCAACACACACCCTCCGAAAGCACGTCTGATCCACTGTGCAAACTCGCCCTAAGAAGCCTGAACCGAAACCCGAAACCCTTAAGAACCCGGAACCGAAGCCCTAAACTCTACGAACCCTGTCAACCCTGAACCCGAAGCCTCCGAAGGCGCAGGAGCCTTGCTTTCATCCTCTTCCACCAGCTCAGCGCAGTAGCCCTGAGCCTCGCGGCCTCGGATGATTTGAAGGGCTTGGCGGTCGGTGGTTCCATTGTTCTGCGATTTTAGTTGCTTTAAGGGTTTGTGGACGTGACTTTATCATAGGCTTTGCGTAGGTGTGTGTGTGTGTATATGTATATATATATATATATATATATATATATATATATATATATTTTTATGTATGTATGTATGTATGTATGTGTGTATGTGTGTGTGTGTGTGTGT